AGCATTTTATATTTGATTCACTTAAATACCAAACGCATTCACACCTCGCATACGTATTTGCCTGCTCTTATTGCTATTTATAAATGTCTGCGCGTGCAATTTTCTTTTCATTGAGCTTTGCGTGTGCTCCGCCTAACACCTACGCCACTCGAAGCGACAGCAACCCAGCCATGTTGTTGTACTCGTAAAGTGTTAAATACCATTGTAGGTGTGAAAATGATTTATAACACTTTTAAATGCGAATACGTAGATAGCAATCAAATAGTGCTCAAACAACAATTAAATTGCAACTAAAGCGATTAAGGGTGCAAAGGTGAAGTGGAATGGGAAAAGTTAGTAAATATGCGAAACGATTATAAAAAACTGATATTTTTCTAGTGCCGAACTCTTAGTTGCAATAAAGTAAATTAAATAAATGCTCCGAGGCATTAGCTAACTGGAATAATTAAGAGTAAGCGAACTCGTTTATTTGAGTATAAAATTGAGCGAACATTTAGTGAGTAACTGGGAAGTTCCAAAGCTACCTAATTCAGTTATGTTTTAAGGTTATCTTGATACAAATTTGAGGCATTTAGGCTAAAAAAAAGGAAATGGAATTGAGTGAAAATATTTGAGGAATTATTATGTTTCACAATTCGAAGAAAGGTTTGAGTCCTAAAAGTATGAGAAATATTTATTTGTAAATATCAAAAACTTAAAAACCAAAAACTAAAATTTTTGTACTTACTTTACAATAACTAGCTGAATAAGAATTGTTAGAAATTTGACAAAGCGATAGAGAAGTTAGTATGTCTGAAACCTAATTGAGTGTTAATTTGAGTTAATATATATTAAAATAAATAGAACTCAAACGTTAAGCAAATAAATACTTCTCTTAGAATATGAGTTGTAAATAAAAACTGAGAAAAGTTAATGAAGGCGAAAATAACTCAAAAACGTTGAGCATTAAAATGAGTTGATAAATGTTACATAAAAGATAAAAAAGTCTAAAATTTTTAGCGAACAAATAATTGGTCTATAAAATAAAGTATGTGAAAAGCTGAAAAAATCTTTAGTAAAAGTAGAAATTACACAAAACCGCTTAAATGTTTAATTGATTGAAAGACTGATTACATAAAAGTAAAAAAGAACTCAAAGTTTTATCAAAGAAAAACAAAGAATTTGAATACAAACTATGCAAAAAACTTAACCGAAACCGTAAAAAAGTGAAAACTAATCAAACCAGCTTAAGTGTAAAATTTACTTACTAAATTGTATATACGTAAACGACTCAAATTTAAAAACTAGCAAACTTAAAAGACTAAATGCGAAAAAGACAGAAGAAACGATTGAAAACTGCTCAAAAAGTGCTTAGTGGTAAAATACTTTAAGTAAAAGATTTTGTAAAGTATGTTGACAAATAAACTGTGAATAAAAATTTTGTATTTTTTTTTTTAAATAAATGCGCAAAAAGCTTAAACGCGAGTGCTAAATTGAGTAGAAATAGTTTAAAAAAAACTAAAATTATTAAAAGGTGTTTGTTATGCATAGAGTACCCGAAAAACAAAACATTTCTCAAAAAATATTTGAGTAGAAAATTGAGTGAAACTCATGTACACCGCTCTGAGTTTTAAGTAATATAACAGTTAAAGATATTAGTGAAAAAGAGGAAATATTTAACTTGAGTGTTAAATTGAGTGAAAGCTTGAGCTGTCTCAATGTGGTGTACATATTTAGTAGATCCTTAACTGTCGGAAAAATAACTGAGTGAAAAGGGGTAAATATTAAACTTTTGCAAAAACTTCGAGTGACGAATTGAGTGAAAACTTGAGCTGTCTCAAAAATGTGTGTGCATACAAAAATGGTGTGGAAAAACTGAGTAAATATCTAACTGTCTTCAAAATGAGTTGAAACTATCTTTAAATTGAGTGAACACTTTTACTCTCACAAAGATATCCGATATATAAATTGAGTAAAAGAAATTGAGTACTTCTGCTTTAAAAACGTGAAAAAATTAGGTGAAAACAACTGCGAAAATCTTTAAGTATATTCAAAACGTCGGAGTGCTAAATTTAGTAAGTAATTTGAATATATTTTTTATCCTTTCCGAAAGACAGCTCAGTGATAAATTGGGGAAAACTATAACTGAGTGATAAAAAATTTGGTAAACAGAACATCTGAAAAACAAATTGAGTAAGCAACTGCCAAATATCTTTAACAGTATATAAAATGTTTGAGTGAAATATTTAGTAAATAATAGATTTATAATTTTTACTGTCTCAAAAATGTCTGAGTGAAAAATTTATTGAAGGAAATTACGAAAAATATAGATAAAGACAAGTTTGCAGGATATTAAAAAAATGAAGAATTCCAGAACTAAAAACTCGAAATATGCTACTATGAAAAATACCAGAGTATTTTATTGAGTGAAAAATTAACTGTTGAAAATACCAAACATTCTTTATTTTATCTGAAAATCATCTGAGTTAAAAAAATAGTGAAATATTTGAGTCAAAGGGTGAGTGAAAAATTAAGTGTTTAGCAAAAAAACTAGCATAAAATGGAAAAGATGTTAAAAACTTTACTACTGAGTGCTAACAAATTAAATGGCCTAACACTCGAAAGTATGGTATAAAAAAGTGGCAACTCTATTTTGTGCTCAATTCAACATCATCACTCAATTACATATGTATAGTGAACGCTCTGGAAGTAAAAATGAGCAAAAATGTTACTTATAATTTCTTACAACTCAAATTTAATGGACTTTTGATTACTTTCAAATCGCACTCGCCAACTGAAATGTTAGCACGCTGACATCGGGTTGTTATAAGTAAACTGCAACACACACATACATATATACATACATAAAGTAGTAAATACAGACAAAGGTATTTATGCTACATATCTCACATTTTATCCGCCAGCGAGGCAGCCAACCAGCTAACCAGCCAGTCGGAGATAAGACGTTATGCTAATTACTTTGTAAATACAAGTAATCGGCGTTCATTTCTTGCATTCTGAGTGCATATTTATACACATTGCTGCAAATAAGTTTACATTAGGGCGTATCAAATTTATATGTGATATTATATATTTGTCTACGCGCG